TGTGTTTGCATGCCGTGTTCGCTGCCGCGTTTTGCTATTAGGCGTCAGCCCGCGGCCGTTCTGCTTCCGTTCTCGCGGGCGACAGCTTGGAACAGCAGTTGTCGGAGGTTGATAGACCTCCGACCCTGACACGTCGATTGGCGCATTGGCCGTTTTCGGCTCGCGAGAGGGCGTCGCGGCCGGTGTCGGTCCTGGGGGGCTTTACGAATCGGAGGTTTGCACATTGTTTAGGCTCGGCAAGTATACTACAGGAGATCCATCGGGAAAACCAGCCGAAATCATCGGATAATCTTCAGCAGGAAACTCAACCTCCCAAAAAAATCAAAAATACTCAAAGCCAAAACCTGCGGAAATTCCAAACTCTAAAAAACTGCAAACAATATCTAAGCCCAAACCTGCGAAAATCTCAAACCCCAGCAAAAACTTCAAAACATTTATGAATCAAAACATGCGAAAACCTCAAACCTGAAGAAACTTCAAACAATTAAAAACCAACACCTGCGAATATCTCAATATTAAAGCCGGAGTTTGCATTTAGAGTTGTTTAGAGTTGTTCCATAGTTTTTTTGAGTCAGCCAGGCGGTCAGACATTTGTTTAGAGGTTTTGTTGAGTTTTACCAGAGTTGGTTTAGACTTGTTTCGGTTTTATAGTTTGATTGTTGAGTTTTGGGCGTTTAGAGTTTTCCGAGTTGTTCCAGAGTGTGTTTAGAATTTTCAGGCGTGTCGAGATGTTTTTAGAGTTGTTTGTTTAAATCATTGTTAACGGTGTTTGGGAATTGGTATTCGAGTTCCGGTTTTACGTTTTATTTGAGGTTTGGGATTTCCCCAGGTTTCGGCTGAGAGTTTGTTTTGCAGTTATTTCAGAGTTTGAGGTTTTCGCATGTTTTGGTTTAGCGATTTGTTTTGCAGTTTTTTAGAGTCTGATATTTTCGCAGGTTTTGGCTTAGTGTTTGCTTTTGCAGTTGTTTTAGAGTTTGAGTTGTCTTCAGGTTTTGGTTTCGATATTATTTGAAGTTCTTCTTTTAAAAGTTAAAGTGAAACAATAATTTGATATTTCCGCAGGTTTTGGCTTCGAGACTGCTTGTTTTTTTTGAGTTTGAGTTTCTTCGCCCGATTTGGCGGTGGATCGCCTGTAGTCGCTATTGCCGAACCTAACTCATAGTTCATTTCTAAGTATTCGACAACTCTTTGATTTTCTGGGGGCCACGGTCCTTTCTTTTCTAATTGTTCTATCCTGGTCCTCTTCCTGGCCACTAGGGGGCCGGGAACAATTAGAAACGAGCACAATTAGAAATGAGTGCGATTAGAGATGCACGGCGTGTACTAAAGGGAGGTTTGCCCACCGCCGACGGTGTTTGTTTTTGTCAGTTGGGGGGGAATGGCCCCGCGGCAGCCAGTGCTCTCCTGGCGGCCCCGCTCCATTGCGGCACACTGTGCACCCTTCGTGCTCTTCGCGGCCGCATGAGGAGATCCACCGAAGGCGGTGCCCACAACGACGGCACTCACAACGGCATAGGGTTAAGTCGGGCACGTCCCTCTACAGGGGGGGATATTCAAAAATACTGTAGTCAAACAAGTTGTCGGGGGACGATTTGCTGGATATTTTGAGCCATAGTGGAGTATTGCATGGCTGTTCTTAACTTGTCCAACATCTGCCTGTAGGGGGGCATGCCCGACCTACGCATAGGGTTGGGTCCTTCGCCAGGATATTGTTGTCGTGGGGGGTTTCTTCCAGAGATTTACGCGTAAGCGGTGTCGAACACAAGAACGACCTTCAGCTCGCGCCCTGCTGTTACCTTGCATACTCGGAGGACATGGTCTGTCCAAGCAAATGTGTCTTTCCCACTGCCCGACGCGGGCTCGATGTGGAGTCTAGTGGACTCTACGCGGATTTGCCTTGGATTCGATGGGAGTTCGACGCGGATTCGCTGCGTACTCGACGAGGCCAGGATGGATTCGACACGGACTGTACGCGTATAGGTACGCGACGGGACAGACGAAGTTTCCCAAAGATCAGATTCAACAAATGAGTTGCTCGGAGAGCTCCCTGCCCTGGAGGCTCGCAAGGGGTGTGGAGACGATCACACAGGGATGATTTGGCTAATTTTCGCCTCGTGGGGACCCCACGGGGCCCCGGGGCCGTCAAAAAACTACGCAGTATGAAAAACAAGTCTCGGGGCAGGGCAGCCACGATGTGAAAAAATCACGATGTCGGATGTCTGGGATTCGGTACGAGCGGCACTGAATACGGGAATTTGCTCTTGCCCATTTTGAGCAAGATCCGCAGTCGGCGTCTCCGCGGACGTTGTCCGACATGGAGGCGCCCGCCCAGGAGCGGTTGCCGATCAGTTCAGTGTAACATTTTTGCTGTTCAGCCTTGCCCTCTACCCCTACCCCCATGTGCGCGCCGCCAATGTTGGGCGTCGTGCCCATGTTTGTCCGCACCCGCTCCAGGCCCGCCAGTTTGCCGTGCCTCGTTGCCCCTGCTCGGGGAATCGGAGATGCCTCCCGGTCTCGACGACGCAGGCCTCTGGCGAACGTGTTCTCGCTGTGTGCGCTCAGGTGGCTTCCTGCCTCCATCCGGCCTCATGCGGCATGGTCGGTCCGAGGTGTAACATCAAGGTCGGTTCGGGAATGGTACCCTGATGTTCTTCGCGTTTGCTTGATGTTCTTGTGCGTCCTGGGGTAAATCACCCTCGAGTGTTCTGTGTGTTTGGGCTGGTGGAGGGTCTCATGTTCTTCGAAGAAAAACTACATAAACATAAACTTGTGGTGCTCCGCGCGTATTCCTTGGATCCGCGCCTGGGCCCCCTGCCACCTCCTCTGGCGCGCTCCGCGCGCCAGGGAGGAGGGCCCAGCACGGATCCAAGAAATCTGCGCGGAGCGCCAACAGTTTCTGTTTATCTTGTTTATTTTCTTCTTCTAGTTCTTGCAGGGTGTTCTTCTCAAGCAGTGGCGAAGCGTCCTGGCTCGCCTATAGGCCCACCAAAGAATGTTCTAAGAACCTTTTGTGGTTTCCACGATAGGTTCTTCGAACATTTCCGGTTGGGACTGTCTTGTTTTGTCACATCGGGTTCATGTTCTAAGAACACTGCCTTTGTTCTTAGAACATGTCTGGGTTCTGAGAACATCTCGTGGTGGGCCTGTAGGAGTGCCGGGACGGTCGGTCCCTGCCCAATCTTCTGTCCGAGGTCCAGCCGTATCGCAGGGGACTCAGCGGCAGGGGTGGCTCGGATCGCGGCTCCTCTCCCCCCCCCGCCCGCCGCGCGCAGGACGGCGCGGCGCCGACGCCGTCGAGGGTGCGCGCGATGGCGGGAGAGGGCGGGGGGGCAGTCGGGGAGGAGGAGGAGGAGGAGGAGGAGGAGGAGGAGGAGGAGGAGGAGGAGGAGGAAGAGGAGGAGGAGGAGGAGGAGCCGCCATCGTCTTCATCGTCGATGTCCTGTCTGTCCGTTTTTGGTTTCGCCTGGGCGTTTCGTCAACATCATCACCAGCACCACCGTCATCACGATTGCTAGCGTCATCATGATTCGTCGTTCTGATCGCCATCCGCTTCATCACCAACACCAGCGTCATCACCGTCAACATTGACATTACAAGCGATATCGTCATCGCCGTCGTCGCCGATCAATTGGGTTTTGCCAACAAGTTGAGGGCGGGTGGGTGGGATGTTTGAGCAAATAGTGGAGTAGACGAATTCAAGACGAACAACATTGAGAACCCGCCTCAGTATCCAACTTAACCCTCTTAACCCTGTACCGATCCCTGAGCTACCCCAGCAGCGATCCAAACACAGGCGGAGCTGTTCTGAAGCTGATAAAGCGGCAAATCCAGGCGGGCAAATCCAGGGCGGATGCTCTCGTGAATGTCTGGCCTCTGGCGGGCGTGGTGGAGCTCCAGGGCCGTCAGTGAGCGCTCGGGGACCGGACACATGTTCCCAGGGGGAGGTTCAGAGTGCCAGGTGGTCGTTTTTTAGTCACTGTCTTGTCAAAGCGACAAAAATAAAACAACGTCCACCAGGGTCGACGCATTGGAGAGCACACGACGTCGGAGGTCTGGGGGAGGCAGGTCGGCCAGGGATCCGGACAGAACGTTCCATCGCGTTCCGCCAGACAAGACTCCAGAGCGTTCCTAGAGCGCCCTGGGACGGCCACGGCGCCCGCTGCGCCTGCCAGACCTGCCAGCTCGCAGAATGTCAGCATTCCCGAGTTCCACCTGCATCCAGATTTGTCCTCATCCTGCCTTCCTCCCGCTCCTGTCTCTCTCGTCCTCCTCTCCAGGTTGTGATGTTCCTACCTACTTCTGCCTGGTTCACCAGGAAGAATTTCGAGCACCAGAAGAGAACAAACAACTCGAGGGTTTTCACGTGTCGGGCCCAGGGGGACACTCGTTCGACACTGCTTCGACTCTTTTCCCACACTTTTCCGGGTGCTCGAATCTTTTTCTGGGATGTGGTCCTGAAGTGCGATGGGAGCAACATAATCTTCAGGCCTCCTGCCTAGCTTCGCCCCCAGGGAGCCCTGGCCAGCCTCAGAGCCACAGAAACGGTTCGGGAGGAAGAGGAAGCCGCCCTTTGGGCAAAGGACCGGGGCTTCCCCGGGGACTGTGTATTGAAAAGGCAGGACGTCGGATCACCTCTGGATCCCCCTCCGCAGACCCCCGACGTCATGATTTTTTCATGACGCGACCCACAGAGGTCCAGCCCCATTCCCAGACATGATCGCGTCGTGAAAAAATCAGGACGGGTGGTTTTATAGTATTTTCAAGCCCTGGGGGCCCTTGCCAGGCCTCGGGAGCGTCAAAAAACTACTCAGGATGAAAAGCCGGTCCGGACTTCTGGGAACGCCGTCCTGAAAAAAATCAGGGCGTCGCTTCCCCAGGACCAGCTCTTCATCCTCCGTAATTTTTTGACGGCCCCGAAGGCCGGTGAGGGCCCCCAGAGGCCGAAAGTGGCGAAAGAAGTGCCGTCGTGGTCGTTTCCTGACTCGTGGGGGTCTGGGTCCGCAGCCATCCTGGCCCAGGCCGCAGGAGGCTCGAGCCCAGGCCCGGTGTGGCTCTCCGCGCGGGCGCCCGGTGCGTGCATGAGCCGCTCTGGCCCCCGCCTGGCGGGATGGCGTGCCAGGGCTGCGGGCGGGTCTCGGAGACGCGCCTGTGCTGCCCTACCTGCGTGGAGCTGGGCCGCACCTCGTTCTTCTGCGGGCAGGAGCTCCGGGCCTCCAGAGATGGGGCCCGAGCAGGTGGGGGGGGGTATCTTCGGGGCTGTCTGGGGAGCTTCTCGGGGCATGATCGCCCCCCTCCTGCTCCTCCTCCTCCTCCTCCTCCTCCTCCTCCTCCTCCTCCTCCTCCGTCAGCTTGCAGCCCCAGGCAGGGAGTCGGCCCGTGCCAGAGCGCTGGCGTCAGGATGGGGGTCTCACAGGCAGTAGACAGGGTCCCCGGCACCCGATGTCTCTCCTTGTGTCCCCAGGTCTTCGGCTGCGGGGGCCGATCCTCGTGCTCTGCAAGGCTGCAAGCTCAGACACGCACCACAGGGTTCGTTCGTGGCTCCTCCTCTTCATCTCCTCTCTGCACTGCGCCGTGGCCTGGCTGCACGGAGGCGGCCGGGTGCGGCCAGCACAGGGTTCATTATCTTCCCCCGGGTCCTTGGTGAGGGGCTTCAGCATGCAGACCAGAGGGAATTTTGGTTTGAGGATCGCGCCGCGTCGCCGTTGCATCGGCGATGCGGCTCGATGTGGAGCCCGACTTTCTCCACGCCGACGTCGCCCGATGAATTGGCGATGCGATTTGAGATCGCTAACGTCGGATGACGATACCGCCACTTCTGGACCTCTCCCGGGGTTCCTCCTGGCCAGAATTTCGGGTCGAATCCGGCCGTAGTGACGAGTGCCTCTCAGGAGGCACCAAAGTAAAGAAGGCGAAAACTTGGGAAACGTATAGTAGCGATACTGGTTCCTTCCCTGAGATCGGACGTTTCGAACAAGTTGAGCAGCTTTGGGCGGTCGCGAACACGTAGTAGAGTTATCTACCACCTGAGCCACTTAGGTTACCTACAGCCCACCAGTTTTCTTGAGTTCGCCCTGGCATCCGCCCGTAGCCCCCCCCCGTCTCCTTTGCAAACGCCGCGGCGATCCAAGCGAGATGTGTTTCACAAACGCTTTGCACAGTTAAAGTTATTTACCCCACACATCAGCCAGTTAGGCCACCTGCAGCCCACTTAGAGTACACCCCGATATCCACTCATAGCCCTTTTCCCGTTTCATTGGCCACAGCCGCGGTGATCCAAGCGAAGAGTGTTTCACGAACATTTGGTAGACAGAGTTGTCGAATTCCCCTCCAAAGCCACTCAGGTCACCTGCAGCCCACTTGAACTCGCTCTGGTCAAGCAGTGGCGAAGCGTCCCGGCTCGCTTATAGCCCCACCAAACAATATTTTGAGAACCTCTTGTGGTTTCCACGAATTGTTCTTAGAACATTTCTGGCGGATATTGTCTTGTTTTAACGCATCGGGTTTATGTTCTAAGAACGTTGTTGTTGTTGTTCTTGGAACATTTTTGGGTTCTAAGAACATCTCGTGGTAGGACTATAGGAATGCCGGGGCGGTCGGTCCCTGCTCAATCTGGCATCCACTCGCATGACTTCCCCCCCCCGTGTCTTTGGCAACCGCCGCATTGATCCAAGCGAGGAGGGCTTCACCAACACTTAGTAAGGAGTCATACATGTTCATATAAACACCCAAGGCCACGTTGGCCACGTGCAGCCCACTTAAGACTTACCCTTGCATCCACTCATAGCCCCTTTCCCTCCCCCCCGTCCCCGTGGCAACCGCAGCGGTGATCCAAGCGAGGAGTGCTTTACGAACGCCTAGCAGAGTTACCTACACATCAGAGCCAATCAGGTCACTTGCAGCCCACTTGAATCCACCCTGGCATCCACTCGTAGCTCCCGTCTCCAACCGCCGCATTGATCCAAGCGCGGGGTGCTTCAGGCAGAGTTATTTGCCTACCTATTGCCACTTAGCCAACTGCGGCACACTTGGGACACCGTAGCATCCACCCATGCCCCCCCTCCGTTTGGCAACCGCCGTGGTGATCCAAGCGAGGAGTGTTCCACGAACACTTAGCAAAGTTATCTACCCCCCAAGCCAGGTCACTTGCAGCCCACTTGAACTCACCCAGGCATCCACTCATAAACCCCCGTCTCCTTAACAACCGCCGCATTGATCCAAGCAAGGAGTGCTTCACGAACGCGTGTCAGAGTTATCTACCCACCTATGCCACTTAGATCACCTACAAACTACTTGAACTCACCCTGGCATCCACTCGTAGCCACACCCCCTGTATCCTTGGCCACCGCCGCGTTGATCCAAGCGAGGAGTTCTTAACAGACGCTCAGCAGAGTTATCTACCCCTAAACCACTGCAACCACCTTGACCTTACCCTGGCATGCACTCATCATCCCCCGCCTCCTTGGCACCGCCGTGGTGATCCAAGCGAGGGGTGCTTCGCGAATACTTCGAGCGATCTACCCACCTAAGCCACCTGGGTCACCTGCAGCCCACTTGAACTCACCCTGCGCGGTGATCCAAGCGAGGAGGGTTTCACAAAATCTTGGCAGAGCATCTGCCCACCTGAGCCACTTAGGTCACCTGCAGCCGACTTACGATTCGCGCTGGCATCCACTCATCGCCTCACCCACACCTGTTTCCGCGGCAACCGCCGCGGTGATCCAAGCGAGGAGTACCTCACGACTCACGAAGACTTAGCATAGTTATCGACCCCCGAAGCCATTTCAGCCCACCTGAACACACCCATGCATCCACCTATAATCCCTCGTCTCCTAGGCAACCGCCGCATTGATCCAAGCGAGAAGTGCGTCACGAACACTGAGCAGAAAGATCTTCCCACCTATAGCCACTCAGGTCACTTGCGGCCATCTTATGACTCATCCTGGCATCCACTCATGGCCCCCCGCCCGTCTCTTTGGCACCGCCGTGGTGATCCAAGCGAGGGGTGCTTCGCGAATACTTCGAGCGATCTACCCACCTAAGCCACCTGGGTCACCTGCAGCCCACTTGAACTCACCCAGGCATCCACTCATAGTCTCTCCGTATCCTCCTCAGCCACTGCGATGATCCATGCGAGGAGTGCTCCACGAACGCGTGGCAGAGATATCTACCCACCTAAGCCACTTTGGCCACCTGCAGCCCACTGAAAGCTCACCCTGGCATCCACTCGTAGCCCCCCCCCCCTGTATCCTTGGCAACCACTGCGGTGATCCAAGCGAGGAGTGCTTCACGAAGAACTGGAAGACCCATGCGGCCCTTCACGACCTGCTCCGCAAGCAGCGCGCTCTCGCGGAGGGCGGCGGCGGCGTGAGCTCAGCGGCGCCCTCCGCCCCGAGCGGCCCGGCGCCGGAGCAGCCAGCGCGGCGGGAGTTCGAGCCGCTGCCTGGCGGCGTGGCGCTGAGGTCGGAGGGCGCCGAGTCTCCCAGGGGATCTCGGGTCGTGAGAGCATCGCGGTCGGAGGGTTTTTTCTTTAGTTTTTCTGGCCCAGGGGCCCCTGCCCTGGGCCCCTGGGGCCGTCAGAGAACAACTCAGGATGAAGAGCTGGTGCAGGGGAATGGGTCGAGAACGCTGGGGGTCCACGTCATGAAAAAACATGACGCCGGGGGGTCTCGTCGCCATCGCATTCGCCTCGAAACTCGTCTGGACGCACTCCGAAGGAGGTCCAGGGAGTAGGGGCGTCGGTATCTTCAAGATTCCCCCACTCCGAAACTGTATACGCCCTGCACCCATCCTGGCCAGGCTCGATGTGCAAACTGCACCCAGACCAGACCTCCCTACGTACAAAGACAAACAAGACATGACATCTGTTTTCTCGATTTTCAGCCTCCCTTCGTTGGGCCCTGGGGGCGTACTGAAATTGCTGTGGATGAAGGGCTGGCTCCGGTTATTGGGCGGCTGGGACTTCCAGGGACCGCGCACTCAAACAAAAAATACATCCGATGCCTGGGTGCTGACTCCAGGATCGGATTGTGTACGCCTCGTTGGCCTTAGATATCTGTCGGGGTACGGGGCCGGGGGCCTCTGGCCAGGTGCCTCGACTCGCCATGGTGGGAACCCCTTCCCCCCGGGCCTCTCCAGAGCCGCTCCGGGGCGTCTCCCGAGCGGCTCTGGACGGACCCTGGTGCTGTTTCAGCAGCAGGAATGGTTCCCATCTTCGACCCATGTCGCCGAAGCACGTGGTAGAGGTTTCGGGAGGCCTCCAACATGGCTCCAGACGCTTCCAGGAGCACTCCCAAGAGACCCCCGGGAGGCCAAAATTGATGGTTTTCCGAGGGTTTCAGAAGGATTTTGGCCTTTTGTTTTTGTTTCGGTTGTACGACGCTCCACGACGGCGCTGGGGGTTTCCAGGTCCGCCCCCAAGCAGCCCCAGAGGCCCCCCAGACAAGCCCAAGGCGGCCCCGGAGAGCCCAAGGCTGGCCCAAGAAGCGCCCACGACAGCCCACGAAGGCTCCAAAGCAAGCCCAAGAAGGGCCCAAGAGAGGGACCGCGTACCGAACACCCAGGGCTCCCGCCTCAACAGTGACCCTGGAGGCCCCAGGCAGCCCCTAAGAGTCCTCCAACATGGCTCTAAACGCTTCCAAGAGCACTCCCACGAGGGCCCCAGCAGGCCAAACATTCATGGTCTTACCATCGTTTTCGAAGGGTTTTGGCCGTCCGCTCTTTGCGGCTGTCCGACGCTTCTAGGCGGCCCAGGAGGCCTCCGAGACCGCCCCCAAACAGCTCCAGAAGCGCCCAAGGCCGCCCCGAGGCGGTCCCGGAGAGCCCAAGGCTGGCCCAAGAAGCGCCCAGGGCAGCCCACGAGTGCCCCAAAACAAGCCCGAGAGGTGTCCAAAACACGGACTGCGTCCGGAAAACCCGCCTCAAGGGAGCCCCAGAAGGCCCCAGGTAGCTTCCAAGAAGCTTCATACATGGCCCACGACGCCTCCAGAAGCACCCCCAAGAG